GAATGGATGTGCAGTGCTGTTGACGGGAAAGGGCTCAGTGATTCCTGGAATACCACTTCCTTCCCCGCTCTGCCCCCATATTCTTGACCCAGAGGAGGCCATGGGCACAGGGTGGTCAGGCAGGGAGAGGGGGAGCCCTCACCCCTGGACTTTTATCCTACTAATGACTGTAAGTGGTGGCACCAGTCTGAGGAGGAGAGTAACGTGCCAAGGGAAATAGCTTTCTCCAGGCTGGGTTGTCAGCTGCGTGGGCGTGTGTGGTTGCCAGGGACAGGACTGCCGGGGCAGGAGGGAGAGGACCCGGCAGGGGGAGGGGACGTTTGTGCAAGACTCTCTGGACCAGGGGCCCTTCCCCTCCTGCATCTGTGCCCTGTGGAGGGAGGAGGCATCTGGTAGACACTGTCCTATGTCCCCTGCCATCAGCAGGCTCCATATGTGAGTGTGCGGTGATAAGTAGAATGTCCCTTCCTCCCTGTCAGAAATGATAAGAAGAATGTCCCTTCCTCCCCAGCCACCAAAACCACAGCATTTAAAAGGCTGTGCCATGTGGGCTCCATATCTCCTCCTCTGGGAAGCCTGCCAAGGAGAGGGCGGAAAGAGCTGGGTCCTGCCCTCCCCCCACAGGGCTCCCCTCTATGCATGCCCCCCATATACCTCCCACTTACCCCCCACAGACCCCCACAGACCCCCCCACTGCAGCCCCAGCCCCGTGGGGCAAGAGCTCGGTGTAACCTCAGAGGACCAGGTGGTGGCCTGGGGGAAGAGATGGGGCAAGGGTGGGACCTCCCTGTGCGGGGCCTAAGGCCATCTCACAGCCCCCTGTGCTGGTAGCCAAAGGGAAGCCCAGAGGGGTGGCTTTGCCCCTGGAGGTCTGGCTCTACCCAAAGAATCTGTTGTGAGTCCTCAGAGGACCCTCACTGATGCACTCCTGGTCCCCTGACCTCTCTGACGGTGGCAGCCAAATGCCAGGACTCAGGCTCCCGGGGCTGAAGCGGGGTCCAGGCCTGCACGTGGCCTCCTTCCTGGAGGCTGCCTGGCTGAGGGAAGACCAGGGTCTGCTTCTGCTGCCTGACTCCCAGCGTCCCAGCATCTCATCCCCGTCCCGCCTGGCCGGGCTGATGCTGGGGAGTCAGAACCGTCTGGCTTCTTGGTGGGAGCTGGTGGGAAAGGAGACCCCAAGGGCCCTGGGCCTTTGTCAGACCCTTCCAAGCAGCCAGCTTCTGGTGAGTAGAGCCACAAGAAGACATGTCCTAAAATAAGTCCTCTTACCCTGCTGCCACTGAGGTGTCCCCAACAATCCAGGCTGGCACTTTGGAAACCCTGCTAAATGTGCCTGTGCTACCGGGGTGGGTGATGTCCACTGTAAGATATCTTCATCTCTCCCGAGACATCCCCCTGGGCGGAAGGACTCTGGGAAAGCCAGTTATAGGTTTTTGTTTGGTTTGTTTGTTTTTTGATACTAGGGATGGGACCCAGGGGAGCTTTTCAACTAAGCCACATCCCCAGCCCTTTTTATTTTTTGAGACAGAGTCTCACTAAGATGCTGAGGGCTTTGCTAAGTTGCTGAGGCTGACCTTGAACTTGGAGTCCTGCCTCAGCCACCCACATTGCTGGGATTTCAGGCGTACATTAGGACGCCCAGCACCATTTTTTTGTTACTCTAATGAAATACCTGTGGCAAGATACTTATGAGAAAAAAAAAAAAAAACAGTCTTTTTAGCTCACAAAGTTCAAGATTGGTGACCCCAATGCCATTAGTTCAGCCTCTGGTGAGGGCCCAATGGCGGTGCATGGCATCACGGTTAGAGAGCAGGTGAGAGAAGGATGGTCACGTTGCGGAAGCCAGAGAAAGGGCGAGGGGCCGGGCATGCTCCTTTTATGACAACCCTGAGATCCGCTTCAGGGTCCACAAGAAGAAAATTGCCTTCTTTCCTTCTGAGGGCAGGCCTCTGGTGACATAATGACCTCCCACTAGGACCCACCTCTTGACATCCCCACACTGAGGACCAAGTCTCCCACACCTCTGGGGGACAAACCACACTCACTAGCACAGAGTGAACCCCACACCCGATGAGCTTAACTCCAATACTGACATTCTCCCTCAGCCTTGAAGGGAACGAATATGAGAAAATCAGAACAGTTGCTGAATCAACCTATGTTTTGCTAAAATTATTAAAGAAGCATAAAATTGGAAAGTCCATGCAAGCTCTGTACAGAAATGCTGTCAAGGCAGGAAGGGAGGAAGGTTTGCCAAGCAAGGAGGCTGCCTCTCCCCGGGGTCTGACTTCTCGGGGGGCGAATGCTGGTGTCTGCAGGGCCGGAAGCTCACGGTGGGCCTGCCCTTGTGACCAGAGCTCTTTCTGTATCTCCAGATCCCCGTACCGAGTGTGCCTACTTTCCAGCCCTCCACTCCCGTCCCCGAGCGCCTGGAAGCCGTGCAGCGCTACATCAGGGAGCTGCAGTATCCTCTCTGGTCTGGGTCCCCATGACCACCGTCTCGTTACTCCACCAGAAGCCAAGTGGGCTTGCCTGAGAGGAGGCTAGAGAGGGTCCACAGAGCCACCTCGTCCCCATCTTCCAGGCTCCATTCCTCCGGGCATCTCTGTGCTACCTGGAGCTGGGGGGACTTCGTCTGAAGACCTGCTCCAGCCCCTCCCTCACCAGCTTTCCTGCTGTCTGTGTGTGACAGGGAGAGAGAGGGAAGTGGCCCTCGAGACCAGCTGCAGGAAGTGGGTGGTCCCTGTCATCCATCCAGCCCTAGAGGAAACAGCAAGAAGGTTCCCTGGGGGTACTGGAGAAAGGGTTTTAAAAGTGTGGGGAACGGGGAGGAAAAGGGACTTTAAGCTCCAGGAGGTCACTTACACATCCTGGAATTTTCTCCTGGTTCTTCAAGTTGTCTTCCCTGGCAAGAGGCCCTTTATTGCCCTGCCTGTAAAGAGGTGGGTGCCTGAGTCCTGTTGGAGGGCCCCTTAACACCTTCCCCCTGCCCCAGAGCAGTGTCCTGGGTCCTCTCCCTCAGCCCTCCCGACTGCCGAGGAGGGGGAACTAGACATGGGTCCCGAATAGAGAAAGGCCCGCTGAGGACTGCAGTCAGGCCCCGTCCCTCTGCTCTCCAGTGGGAATATTGAGGTGCGGAGGGAGAGGCTGGCTTGGGAGCACCTAGCAGCTGGAGGCTGAGCTGGACCCCACCCTCCAGCCTCCTCTGTCTGCAAAATTCAGTGCTTCAGGAAGCCGTTCCCAGCTGTGGCTTCTGGCCACCAGCTGTCTGCTCAAAGTCCCCGTCTGAGAAAGGGAGGCCAGGAAAGAATGAGTGAAAGCTGAAGAGGATGGGGGGGGGAAGGAGAGGCACCCACCCACCCTGTGCCCTTCTCTCCCCTGCAGGAGAATCAGGTCTGAGCACCCTCCAAGGTGCTTTGAGGAGGCCCCTTGCTGTGTCCTTACCCAGCCTACACTCCTGGGGGATGGGCAGGGGAAAGGGACACCTTTTCAGATGAACCCAGCCGGTCCTTAACCAGCTCCCACAGGTACAATCACACAGGGACACAGTTCTTTGAAATTAAGAAGAGCAGACCTCTGACAGGGTAAGAATGGGACACCCAGCCCCCTGCCCCAGGCTCACCGTGCCCCCTGCCCGGGCTGAATCCCTAGGAGCCCCTGTGGTTTGCCTTTGGATGGAAGTTTAGATATTCTTGGGGGAAAGCCAGCCATTGGGCTGGTACCTGGGGTACCTGGGTCCTGAGGGTGTCATGATGTCAACGTTCACCTGAGATGAACAGCCAGGGCTATCTTAGTGAAAAGGAGCCCACCCCCACGAGTCCATGCTGAGCACGGAACATGACAGGCAGCAGCCCCCACCTGCCTTGATGATAGAGGGTGGTCCCAGGTCCATGGGCCACCTGGGCTTTTTCCAGTGGAGCAAGAGACAGCCCTTCTCCTTGTCTCCCACAGCGGCCCCTGCTCTCTGCCCACCTGCCTCGCAGGCCCCTGGGCATCCACCCATCGTGTCCTTCTGGACTCTTTTCTGGCCATGTAACTGAAGGTCCAGTATCAGTGTCTGAGCGTTAGGGACCCCTCTAGAAGGAAGGTGGCATCTCTCACTCCTCGACACCTGGCACTCGCTCTGGGCTCTAGAGAACTTCTGCCAGGGAAGCCCCAAGGGAAGAGTGGGGAAGAGGATGGTGGCTGAGGCTGGGGACATGGCCCAGAGATGCCCATAGGCTTAAAATTCTTCAATCCAGGAGTTTATAATTTTTAAAACCCAGATAAATTTTGCATCTTGCTCTACACATCATTTATGTTTGCTTTCTTATGGAAAAAAAAAAAAAGATTAAAGAAAGCTTTAAATGCTTTATTTACTGAATGACCGGCTCTTGAGGCCCCAGGGGGAACATCCACCTCCCTAAGCCCCTGGCTTTGTTCTCTGGCTGCTGCCCACTGGGGGCCCCTCCAGCCCCTGTAGATAGAGGAATCCAGGCACTCTTGTGGAAGGCCAGTGGCCAGGCCGAATCCTGGGCCCCAGGACAGACTCTCTTAAAATGGCCTGAGTTCCAAGTTCAGGAGCAGGCCGCGGGGTGGGGGTGGGGGGCACCAGGCAGCCATCTGCCTGAGACCCCACGTCTGGGCTTTGGGGAGCAGTTGCATCCATTAGCCGGCTCTTCAAAGGCACCTGGGTTAAGTCAGGAATGCCCACTGCGCTCCGGCAGGGAAGAGGTCAGTGCCAAGGTCCCCACCTCCTCCCACCACTGTCATTGCAGAGGCCCCAGCACAGTGGCCGTCACTATGTCATTGCAGAGGCCCCAGCACAGCGGCCGTCAAGGTCCTGTCCTCCGTGCTGCTCCCCTCCCCCAGAGGTCTTTAAAGGACAAGTGGGAGAGAAAATGAAAAGAAGGAAGGAACTGAGGGAGAGGGCCTCTTTCCACCCCGTCGTCATCTGCA